CACACCCCACGCCGCCGCCTTGCGGCGCGGGGCCCGGGGCTTTTTTTTGTTCTTGGGGACGGCGACGCTCCCCCCCCCCCCCCCCCCCCCCAAGGGGGAAAGCTGTGATTCACTCAGCAGAAAACACCTAAATAATGAATTAATGACTCCAAACAAATCAGAGTTACTTTTCCCTAAAGAACAGAGGGAAACTGACCCTCACGATTCAGGTGCTCCCTTTAAGCTGTGCTACCTGGGCAATAAGTGCTTCCTGCAGCCCCAGCACCGGGCTCTGTGGGTGCTGGGAGGTGTCACATAAGCGCTGCACACCCACAGACGGTTACAGGAAGCCCTGTAGCTCAGAGCCACATCCGTACCCACAGCGGCACAAGAGTGGCAGAGCACGGTTTGTTTCTCGGCAAGCACGTGTAACAGTCGACATCTGTAACAAAACACATTTATTTTGCTGCTGTTGAACAGAATCTCTATTGCTTTTGGAGCCAACTCGCCCGCAATAAGCAGACACTCCTGTGGCTCGGGCTCCTCTACGGCAGCACAGGAGGGCAGGGCCGTACCCCTGCCATGGAAAACCGCATTCCTTCTGCCCGTTGGTCTGTTTGCTCTGGTGCCCGGAGATAACGCTATTTCTGGCGTTGTTTGTGCTGCAGCAGCTGCTCAGCAGTGAAGGTGGGTGATGGCATTCTTCGGGTTTGGTTTTAACTCTCGCATAAGCTCCGCCAGCTCCGTGCGCCCGCCGCGTCACACCCCAGAGCCTGCGGGCAGGAGGGGGAAGGCACAGCGCCTCTTGCGTTCCCTCTTCTTAAAAACGCTCAAGGGAGGGGAGAAGAGATTTTTCTCTATTTGTGGAAGGAATATCGAGCGGGCAGCAGCGGGATGTTGTTGCTGCGCGCTACCCTGGAGATGCACCCGGGCCAGGCAGCGTCGCACATCCGCGGTGCTGGCACCGCCCCTGGCACGCGATGTGCTGGACCGGGGCCACCCGCACTTTGCAGGCGGATCTCTGCTCTGCCCTCGCTCCTAACGCCGGGCGTCTGTGGGCCGTGCGGTCCGAGCACGGAGCTGCAGGTCGGAGTTGGATGCGGGGTGCAAGAGTGGCGTTCCCTGGGGACGGGACGCAGCGAGCAGAGCGGCAGCGATCTGTGAGCTCTCCCCACCCCCGCGGCGCAGAGCCGTCCCAGGCATGCCTTCCTCCCGCCCCTCCCAGCACCACCAGAAATAGCTCGAGCCTTGGTGCCCGGCTCGCAGTGCCTCCAGCGGGCTGGCAGCTCCTCTAGGAGCCCCACGCTCCGTATCCCTGGCGCTGGGTCCTGACCCCACGAGCACCTCCCCGAGCGCCGCGCCGCCTGCTCATCTCCTCCAGCGCCCGATGGCCAACAGCACTCCGCTCTGGGACAACAGCAGCCGGGCTCTGTGCCCCGTGGATGCCGCCTTCGCGCAGCGCTTCCTGCCCAGCGTGTACCTGGTGGTGACCCCGCTGGGGCTGCTGGGGAACGTGCTGGGGCTGTGGTATCTGCACTCTGGCCCCCGCAGCCCGCTCAGCCGGCTGGTGGGCCACCTGGGCCTGGCCGACCTGCTGTACGTCTGCACGCTGCCCTTCCTCATCAGCTACTACCTGCAGGGCCGCACCTGGGCCTTCGGGAGGGGCTGGTGCCGCCTCACCCGCGGGCTCTTCCATCTCAACCTCTACGCCAGCATCGGTTTCCTCACCTGCATCAGCGTGCACCGCTACCTGGGCATCGTGCACCCGCTGCGGGCGCGGGGCCGCTGCCAGGCTGCCGTGTCTCCAGGCCGGCTCAGCGCGGCCGTGTGGCTGTGGGTCATGGTGCAGGTGGGCCCTGACTTCGCCTTCAGCAAGATGGACCCCATGGGGATGCGGTGCCACGACACGACGGGGGATGAAAGCCTGGGTGCCTACGTGCCCTACACCGCCGCCATCACCGTGACGGGGTTCGTCATCCCCTTCCTCATCATCGTCGGGTGCTACTGCCACGTGGTAGTGGTGCTCTGCAGGAGCGACACGGTGGAGCCCGGGCTCAGGAGGAGCAGCATCAGGCTGGTGGTGCTCGTCATGGTCCTCTTCTCCGTCTGCTTCCTGCCCTACCACATCTTCAGGAACCTCAACTTGCTGTCCCGAGCCTGGCAGCGGCAGGGGTCCTGCACACAGGCCATGAAGAACATCTACATCTCCTACCAGGTGACCAGGGGCCTGGCCAGCTTCAATAGCGCACTCAACCCTTTGCTCTACATCATGACCAGCAAAGACTGCATGTCACGCATGAGGAATATCCACCAAAGGGCCAAGGAGACCCTGGGATCCATCTTCACATGGGAATCCTCTAAGCGAGCCCACAAGATGAGGAGCAGCATCGTCTTTGAGTTGCAGGAGGCTTCTGAGCAGCTCTGATCAGTGCAGCACCTCCCCGACACCTGTGCACATCAGCTTCAGCTTTCCCCCACCTGAAGCACGCTTTGTGGTGAGATGAGACTGCAGTCCTCGGCTCCAGCATGGTGCCTGGGACAGAGGGGATCGAGGGCAGCAGGCATTAGGCTGGGCTCAGGCTTTAGAACAGAGTAACCAGCCCAAAGTGAGGCAGAGAGCTGCTGCATTGCGGGATGGTGGAGAGGGGGAGTTCTGCAGGGGGAAGTGCTGTAGAAATGGAAACATTCACTAACATATCTTGATTGAAACATGACTAAACTGTGCCAGCAGCGGTGGTGGTTGTTTCTGGAAGCAGATCTGCTTTGGGATCTGGCTTATCTTCTGCAGCCCGCCTCCTTCACAGCAGAAAAATGTACTTTAGAATGATTCACTCTCTTGCGGAAGAGTGTATAACAAGCAAATGGGCATATTAAAGTTTCTCAGGGCTTTTTTTTTATTATTACTTTGCAATGCAAAAGACCGCAGTGGCCTGAACCATTTGCTCAGCAGGCAATAACTCCAGAGAGCTCTGAGCCACTTGGGTGGGGGCTGCAGCTCTCTGGCATTCGGCCTCACAACGGTATTAACATGAGCTATTGTCTCTTGTAAATCTGATGTGCAAATGTCACCTGCGGAGTGGCAGCACTGGCTGAAGTTGTGCAGAGGTACAGTGAGCTGCCAGGGCAGGACGTGCATCAACTTCCTTGGACATGAGGGCATTTTTGTTGCAGGGGAACAGCAGCTCCTGAGCAGCACTCTGCTTTTTGCTTTCGGTTCTCCCCAGCACAAGCAGCTGCAACGCATGACCGCAGCAGTGAAACTTGAAGCAGCAGATTTCAAAAGGGGCACATGAGTTAGAACTGCCCCCTACCTGGAGAGCACAGCCCCACACAGGACTGAAGTAAGAGCAAAGCCTGACCAGTACCAGCCAGCTGCTGCTTACATGGCCCCACCTCACTGCTCCACAGAGGACACAGTGGCGATCACATGGGGCTAATGCATCTGAGGTGCAAATAAACACTTGACATGTTCACTTGTGCCCCTCTGGCTTCTTCTAAAGCTTAGTGGCAGCACAGAGCCAGCTGGCCTGGGGGATGGAGCTGGGGCACACACCAGCTCTGCTCCCCCCCCATGCGCCCAGCTCTCATCCGCTGCCCCCCCATCATTGAGGGTGAATTAAAGAGTATCCCACAAACCAGCCCTGAGCCCAGGATCTGTAGCATCTCGTGGTTCCATATCCCACGTCAGTCAATCCAGCAGAAGCCATCGGGATCTGTACTCTGTAACAATGGCTCCAGGGCTTGGTGGCATCTTATGCTTCACAGCCCTCCTGATCCTCAGGCAGCACCGCTCTCCATCCAAGCTGAAAAGAAGAAGAAAGAAGAAGAAAAAGCTCCCAACCCAGCCAAGTTCCCTTCCTTAATTAGCTGCGTGTGTAATTAAGGACAACCACTGGCACATGAGCCTGCCTGGCTCTCACAGCTGTGTAATGGAGCAGCAAAGCAGCCCCCTCCTGCTGCTTTTGCTCCAGGCTCCTCCCTGTGCAAAGAGCAGCTGCTGCCCCACAGGTGACAAATGTGACAGACAGAGATGTACAGATGTATGACCATTTCACTTCCTTCTAGAATGCAAGACTGTTCTGCTTGGCATCCAAAATGCTACACAAGAACATACTGCTGTCAACAGCAGCTAAACCAGAGGTCCCCAGCAGAGCAAGAACTGCAGGGCAGGGGGCTTTGGGAGCATCTCCTGTGGTGTGGTGGGAGCTGCAAGAAGGGCTGAGTCCTCCAGGTCACTAATGAAAGGTCACAGCATCCCCGAATGCAGCATTTATTTCTGCAGCAGAGCAGTTTCACTGTCCCAGTACATCTGGGTATGGGGAGAGCAGACCTGACAGCTCATCTGATTTACCAAGGACATCGACTGAGCTGGGGAAGCAGAGGTAATGCAGTTAACTCTGGGCGATCCGGACAAAAATGGTCAATATGTGTGGGATCAGGTGCTGCCAGTGAATGTTTCTTTAAAGTGAAATTCAGAGTCTTTGTGCAGAGTGCTTTGGCATCTGGGAGACCAACAGTTTATTAAGGAGAGTACCCGTATAAATAGAACAACATTCAGCGTGGCTGCATGAGGCTGTTGGTCTCATATTATTCCTCTGTGTGTGTGGTTATAAATAGGCACCTCCATGGGGCAGGAGGTGCCCTGGGGTAACCCAGAGCTTCACCTGCACAGCTCTGTACCTCAGCCCCTGCCCAGAGACACTCAAACGGAGCATATTGAAGTGAGCCTCCTTGTCCCACTGCAGCCCCAGGCTGACCTTCCTGCTCCAAGCAGGCGCTTTGCCCAGCTCCCCAAAGCCCAGCATTCATTTCATTCCCATCACTGACTCAGAAATCCGCAGAGCAGCTGTGGCCACGGTGCTGCTGTGTGCTCTGCCCCGGGGACGTGGCTCAGCCACTGCACATCAGCCAAGAGCCATGGGGGCTTCTCTGTGTGCCCCTATGGGAGCAGCCATCTCTGTGTGCCCCTATGGGAGCAGCCATCCCATCATCCCGATTCATCCACCCTGAGAGAAGCAGCTGGAGAACTTCAGTGCACAAACTATTTGGTAAAAAGTCGTGACTTCGAGGTGGAGAGCAAAACGTGTCTGCAGTGCAGTGCTCTCACTGCACCACAAAGCAAATAGTTCCGGTTTGGTTTATTTGCTCCCCACTGAGAAATCACTCCTGGTCCTGCAGCCCCCGGCTCCACAACCCAACCGCAGCACTGGGTGGGAGCAATGAGAGCAGCAGGATGGCAGCATTCCCCTTCTCAGCCCCACCGCAGGATGAGGGCGAAGCTGTCATCCAGGCATCCTCAGGAAAATCCTTGCATATTTGCAGTGCATTCCCAGAACATCTGCCCCTCCCCTGTCTGCAGCAGAGAACTCATTTATAGCACTGCCCACCGTGGGAGCAGAGCAGGTCCTGCTCTGCACTGAGCCAAGCACTGCTTTTTGTGCTGATCCCAGTGCCACCACCCTCAGCCCCGGCTGTGCTGGAATGCCCGCATCCCAACTGGTTGTCTGCTCTGCTTCTCAGCAAACAATCCCAGCAGTAATTAAGTAGGGACATTATTGTTTTAGCTTGTTTTTGTGATTAAAGCCAAGGTGCTCCAGACAAATAAATGCACCGATGAAAGCGGCCGAGATCAAAGCAGCACCTCTCCCAGCTGGGCGCGGGCCAGGCGCTTTATGGCAGGTGCTGTGTGCCTGGCTGGCACTCAACTGACAGCTTTCCAAGCACATAAAAACTTAATAGGCTGAAAATAGAGTTTGTGGTCACAGACTGACAGCAGCAGCGCTGGCAGCTTGGGGCCGCTCCACGCATGAGCTCCAGGGGAGCAGGGCTGGGGAATTCAGGCGGGGCATCAGGCAGGATCCACAGAGGAATGCAGGTGCCTGGGCTCCCAGATTGCAGGGGTAGGAGGGAGGCAGCAGAATGCCCCAGAGCCCAGGGAAAGCCATGCAGCTGACTCTGTTTGCAACCCCCAGGATGCGAACACCCCAAGCTCCAGAGCTCCTGCTTAATGCACAGAGCTCTGCTGTCCCTCCGCCTCCCTGTGCAATAAAAAGAAGACATGTCATCTCATAATGCAATTTCTTGTTGGAAATCAATGCTGAAGTGCGTTATGTTGACTTCTCCAATCCTGCAGCTCCCATGTGCCCTTGTTCAAGTGCAATGTGAGCAGCAAGAAGACAAAGGCCAAGTTGCGCAGTGTGGGGCTTCTCTCTGGGCAGGAGGGATGTGTGTGCGGTGTGACACAGCTCTGGTGCACTTGCTGTGTGGGGGTAAAGAAATGTATGAGCATGGGGCCGCTGCGCAGCATTGCCTTCATTCTAATGCCTGTGACAGCACGCAAACACACTGCTGTGTGCACTGCCTGTGCAGCCCTGCGTTGGTTAGCACTGTGTCACCGGGCAGGTTTGGTACAGAACTGCTCCTGCCCCTGCTGTGTATGGGTGGATCTTGTCCCACAGGGCCTGAGATCAGAGTAAAGCCCCAGAGCTGCCACCGCTGTCCTGCAGCTGCACACGATGGGAGCTGTGCAGTTTGCACCTGTCTGCGGAGCAAACGCGTCGGTGCGTCTGGACCTGCGCGGGGTAATGGGCTGCAGCACCTACCGGCTGTCCCGGGGAGGAGCTGGGAGCTCAGACCGGACCCGCAGGGCCCCTGCAGCTCTCCCGGCAGCTCTCCCGGCAGCGTCGCTGCTCCCAGCCGAGATGGGCAGAGTTTCTTTTTGAAGGAGATGTTATCTCCCGCAACGCACAACTCGGGAGAAGCATCTTTCTATTTTTAAAAAGCGAAACATAAGGCTTACATAAACTACTGGGGAAGCCGAGCCGAGCCGCCAGGCCCGCGCTTCGAGGGCTCCATCTCCTAACGGCCGATTCTGCGCGCCCCGAGGCGGCGCGGGGCACCCGTCGCATCCATCCGTCCCCCGCAGCGCTGCCGCCGTCGGGCGGCGGAGCGAGAGGAACGAACAGGAACGCCCCGGCTGGGAAGCGAGGGAAGGAGCGGGGCAGGGCGGAGCGGAGCGGGCACAGCCGTGACCCCGCAGCGCGGTGCGGGCGGAGGAAGGCGGGGAGCGGGCGGGGAGCGGGCGGCCGCGGGGCGCGCGGGGAGCGCTGCGCGTGTGCGCGGGGGGGGCGCGAGGGGCGGCGCGCGGAAGCTGCGCGGGGCCCGCGGGGGGCGGCGGGGCCATGCGGAGCCCGGGCTGAGGGGCCGCGCCTCGCCATGAAGCGGCAGAACCTGCGCACGGCAGCGCTCATCCTCTGCATCTTCTCCTACCTGCTGGTGGGCGCCGCCGTCTTCGATGCTCTGGAGTCGGAGGCGGAGAGCGGCCGCAAGCGGCTGCTGGAGCAGAAGCGCGGGGAGCTGCGCAGGAAGTACCGCTTCTCCGCCGACGATTACCGGGAGCTGGAGCGGCTGGTGCTGCAGGCCGAGCCGCACCGCGCCGGGCGCCAGTGGAAGTTCGCCGGCTCCTTCTACTTCGCCATCACCGTCATCACCACCATCGGTGAGTGCTGGAGCCTGGCGCTCCTCCGTCCCCGCACCGCAGCGCGGCTCCCTCGGCCGAGCCGGGACGGCTCCGCGACCCCGAGCTGCCCCGCCGAGCGCGGTGCCGGGACCCCGCGGTGGGAGAGGTGAGCCGCGGGCACGGCCGCCACGCTCTCGGCGTCCCGGCGACGCGGGGCCGGAGCTGCAGAAGTCGGCGGGGTGCGGGGCGGGGAGCGGCGCTCCTCATCGCTGCTGCCGTAGCCGCACGCCGGGCGGCAGAGCTGCGCGGGAGGCTCCGGCCCCTTCGCGGGCTCCAAACTCCGCGTTCGGCCGTCCCGGCCGCTGAATCTCGCTCTGCGCGCACGGGTGCCCGCAGGGAAAGTGGGGCGAGTCAGGTCGTTGGGTGGTGGCACCGCGTCCAGCCCCCAGGTGTACGCGCTCACCGGAGCCCAGCCTTGGTCTGCCTGCTGTTTCACAATAGAGTAACGCTAAACTGAACGGGGAATGCTTTAATTCTGAGATTAGCCACACAGGTGATCAGCATCATTTAATTAATCTGCTTTCGTGAATCCATGCACCCCGAGCATCCCAGGAGGGGGGGCGGCCGTGGGGTCCCGTGCTGGCATCGCTCCCCGCGCTGGGATCCCGACCAGCGGCAGCGCTTCGGCGGCGGAGCCCTGAGGCCAATTCCTGCCCTTCCGCGGCCGAGGCTGCTCAGCCTCTCGGGGCAGCTCGGCACGGGCAGCACACGCCTGGTGGCTGCATTCATTGTGTCTGGCACGGGCACACGAGGAGATGTGCGACCAGGAGATGAGGCGGCTGAGCATCGGCCCCGGCAGGATGAATGGCTGCAATGAAAACCCCCATCATCCCGTGACAGCTTATAGCTTCATTTACATTATTTCTCTGTCGGCTGTGACAAACAATTGCCATGCTTATCACACACCCCCTGCCATAAATAATCCCAGCCCAGGTGCTGTGCTTCTCAAACGCCAGCCCTCCTTATGTCACACTGTGCTATGAATCTCAGCTTTAACGTTAATGTAGCCGTGTAGCTTTCTAATGCAGCTTTGTCATTTTGAAAGCATCAGTCAAACGCTCTTTCAGGAACCTCTCAGGCTACAACAGCTCTTCTGGATCATTTTATTTATGTCCTCATTGCTCTCATTGTGCTTAGGACCTGATAATTGCACTCAGTTATTGGGCTTGGATCTGATTCTTTAATTTTTTTTATTTCCTTTTTTTTTTTTCTTTTTTATTTTTTTT